AGTGGTGAAGAACCGTGTTTGTTAAAAAGAAATAGCTTTTGGCTTAGCCCTCTTGGCTGAGACTCTCCCATGTGGCGAATAGTGCTTTGATTCTCTAATGCAGGGGAGTAGGGAATATATGACATTCATTTCCTCATTCTGCCACTGGCCCCAGCAGGAACATAGACTCAACGAAGTAATCATGGACTCCTGTGGCCTTTTTCCATTTTGTATTTCCCCTCCTGAGCAGGAAATCTTGTGAGTTTCAAGGTCCAGATGTTTACAAGGACAGGGGCAATGATGGCAGGGTTTACTAGAGACTGGTTGTGGCACTGGCAGATGCAGGAGTAGTTTACTGTGGAAACAGCTGAGAACAAAGTTCAGAGGAGATTGGGTTTAGAATGGAGGAAGAATAAGCAGAGCTGAAGTAGAACGTAGAATGTCTAATTAGCCATGTGACAGATTATTTTACATTGAGAAAGCTTAAGTTTAAATATTAGCCAACTAGAAAACAGTAAGATTACGATTTACAAATTCTGTTTTCATCATTTTGTTAAACTATGCTATGAATTGATTCTTTTATGCTTAGCATTCCTTTTTGGGTTTGGGAATAAACAACCTAAACCTTGCCCTGATTTATATTGAGCATAGATTATCTATTTTTTCCCCCACCACTTTGGGAGAAGCAAATAAGATACGTAAAGTGCTTTGCAAATCTTAAAGCACTTTATAAATGCTAGTTATTGTTATTGTTATTATTGCAAACACCTTTGACTTTTAAGTCATAATCTAATTTACTATAATTAAATCATCCCTAGGGTAACTGGAGGGATGGTCTTAGGAGGTCAATGAATATGTGATAGGGACTCCCTCTGACCAGAGGCCAGGCTCCCCAAGGCTAAACCTAGTCCAAACCACATGGTTGAGTCCAAGACAGAGAACATCAAGTGACCCAGTCTTTGTGAGCTGCTCAGATGAGCAGTCCCTAGTTGCTAGATAAATATTTAAAGTGAATTTTTTTTAATGAGGCGTGTATGCTATATTACATTTATGTTTCATACAATATGGACCTAATAATCACAGGAATAGGATGAGAGTGGAATTCAGGAGACATGGGCCCATGGCAAGGGTATTAGTCAGAGGACCTGAAGTCAAATTACACCCTTTGTCATATACTACTTATGTGACCTTGGACAAGTCATTTCACCTCTTTGGGCCTTGGTTTCCTCATCTGGATAATGAGAAACTTGAATTAAATGGCCTTTAAGGTCTCTTCTGGCTCTAAATAAATGATCCTAAAATGGCAGCTTTCTACCAAATGTGGTCAATGTCACTTTTGTGGGAGTATTTTGTCAATGAATTCTTGATTATTTTTAATGTCATGAGGGCTGTCCCCTTATGTGCAGCATGGGGGCATCATTGTGTGGCTTGGAGGAACCCCAAACAAGTCTGTCTAGTCTCTTCTACCCCTCATCATTCTCCAAGGGAGACTTTAATTCCGGTGAGGAGGGGAAGCAACAGGCCTGGACCAGAAGCTCCGCCACTCTGCTCCCCTCAGAGAGAGGGGCTACTGGCTAGAATTATATCTATCTGCTCCTTTAAATATTATTAGCCTAGGAGATGTGGTTTTTAGGTTCAAGATAAACTTCTGACTGCTGATTCTGATCCTACTTAATGGGGAAAGAGGGTTCCATGCTTTATGTTCAAGGCTTACTCCCTTCTCACTAAACACTAGTTCCACAATGATCACACCTATAGGTAGCAAAGGAACCCATTAATTCAAGATGATAACAAAAGAGAAATCAGAGAAAGGATTCATAAGAGAATATATACCAGGCAGTACAGAGTAAAGGAGCTCTCTCATTCAGAGCAAGACAATTCTGCTCAACCAAAAGAGTCCCAGATCTCACCTGAAGGGGAAATTCCCCAAAGTCGCTAGCAGATCAAGCTAGGGATAGAAACGTGAAGGAAGACTGCCAGCTCCTCTCATACTGTTTTTTTCCCAGAATCTTTTTTTTCCCAGCAACCTGAAATGGGGTTAACATCTTCCATTTTCTCTCTTGAAGCTGGAAGCCAGAAGCCAAAGCCAAAGAGACACTAGAACTTGAAGAGACTGACCTTCCCCTCTCTCTTTAGCTCCTGCCAATTTTGCCCCACCCCTCCCACAGGCTCAAGCAATTGGTTTCCAGAGGAGAGAGTCCCATACCAATGGATTTGGGACTCAGATTACATTAAAATAAAGGGTTGAGCGATAAATCAGAAAATTATAGGATATACCTGGTGTCAACCTAAATAAATGTTGTTATATGTGATATGATTTGCAAAGACAAAACATTAATTCAATAAACCTGTTCCATGGGACTCCTGGCTAAGATAGTGACATGAGAAGTTCTAGCCAAACCTCAGGGTCCCCTGAGCAGCAACAATAACAATTGTGTAATAACTAGCATTTATATAGCACTTTAAAGTTTGCAAAACACTTCACAGATATTATCTCATTTTATCCTCACAACAATCCTGGGAGGGAGGGAGGTGCTATTATTATCCCTATTTTGTAGGTGAGGAAACTATGGCAGAGATATGTTAAATGACTTGGCCAGGGTCCTGTAAGTAGTACTCAGGACTTCCTGACTTTAGAAGGAAGATATATTTCCTTCAGAGTTCTTCAGAACCAAGGTATTCACTGAGATTTATCAGGGTTTCTCTGCTTTCTAGTGCTGTTATCATTTACATTATTGTAGCCTTTGTACATATTACTCTCCTGGTTTTATTTCCTCCATTCTGTATCAGTTTATGCAAGTCTTTTTTGGAATTTATCTACCATAATTTGTTCAGCCAGTTGTTATTAGTTTAGTTTTGTTTGGGGAGAGAAGGGTTTGCAAGGAGTTTCACAAGGAGTACAGCTGTGAATATTTTGTTAAATAAAACATTTTTTTTTCACTGACCTCTTTAAGATACATGCCCAGTCTTGGGGCCACTAGGTCAAAGGATATGAACAGTTTGGTAATTTTTATGAAAAATTCCAAATATATTTTCAGAATGATTAGAGTAATTCATGGCTTTACCAGTTGCATATTCTTCTCACAGCCCTCACAACACTGTTTCCATTTTTATCTTGCCAATGTGGTATCTTAGAGATGAAACCTCAGTGTTATTTTTATTTGTATTTCTCATTTGTGAATTCATTTGAGCCATTCTTTTACATGGTTGAGAGACCGGGTGCTGTAACGTAAAGAATGCTAGATTTGAAGTCAGTTGATCTAGGATCAACTACGGCCTCTGCCACTTATTTCCCATGTGGCTTTAGGTAAGTCATTTAATCTCTCAGGACCTCAATTTTTTCAACCATAAAATTAGGAGATTGTGCTAGATGACACCAGAAGTTCCTTCCATTTTGAATCTATGACCCTATGTTGATTTATACTTCTTTCATAAATTTTCTATTACTATTCTTTTACCATTTACCCATTGGGGACTAGGTATCATCTTTGTGTCTCATATTAAATGTCTTCGTTGTATAGAAATTTTAATTTTAATGAAGTTAAGTAAATTTTTCTTGTCTCCAATAATTTATTTTATTTTCTAGGTAAATAAAAAGCTGTTTCCTCTCTGCAATTGAAATACAAATACTTGTTCATTTAAAAGTTCTTTTTATGTGTATAATTCATTCTGATATAAAGTATGGTATGAGGAACTGAATTAATGGTCCACCATATTGCTAGCCAGTTTAAAAGCTGGTACATTATTCAGCAAAAATTGTGGAAGAATTGGATAGGAATATAGTGAAAAATGGAATTTGATACACTTCACTCTAAATATCACAAGAGATAAAGAATTGATTCCAAATGAATCAATGCACTAAATATTTTTAATCATAAAAAATAAGAAGATAAGGAGTTCTATATCTGTCACAGTTTCATGGAGGTAGAAAATTCTTATCTGGTCAAGAAATAGAAGAATATAGAGTACACAAAATGAATCAATTTGAATCTATAAAAATAATGTTTTAGTGTAGGATGTAATACATCCTGAATGAAAGAGAAAGAAATAAATTCAGGGAGGAGGGTCTTTGCAATAAATCTATAAGGAATTGACCCAAATTTATGAGTAAAATGCATTCCCCAATGGGTAAAGCTCAATTCAAGCAATTCAGAAGAGAGAAATGTATGTTGAAACAACCTTCAGACACAGCATTATGTGCATTAAATTGGCAAAGATGGTTAAAATTCAATGTTGTCAGGGTTATAGAGGAACACTTACACTATAACAATCCTGGTGGAGCAATAAATTGGTTTAATTTTTTTTTTAATATCATGATGGCATTATACTATAAGGACTACAACTATTCATATCCTTTGTACCAATGATTCCACTTCTAGGAAAAAAAGGCTTATTCAGACAAGAGTATTTGTTCTGATAGTGATATTAGATTAATTGAAATAACTAATATGTTTAACAATTGAGAAATAAACAAATTTTGGTATATGCATGTAATGGAATTATTTAGCACCATAAGAAATTATAACCATGAAGAATGCAAAGAAATACAGAATGACATATAAAGTGATATATGATCAAGAAACCAGAATCAGACTAAGATACATTCTGACTGTGATTACGTAAAAAATTATAGTAGCAATAACAATAATAAAATCCAGAAAAATACACAGAACAAAAAGAATACAGAGCATTCTCTTTCTGTACAGAAAGTATAGGGGTGGTTTTTTTTGTCAATATCTGGTGAAACCTAATATACCCTTAAAAGCTTTTTTAAATAACAGAACTTTATAGCTCCAGAAACAAACATTTTTTGTTGTTGCTGTATGTTAGAATTCTCATTTATGTTGATGGTTACTAAATTTAGAATAATTTTAAGAAGAAAAGTAAAAGAAATACAACGTCATGTCTTTCTGCGCATTCTTGCTCTCAAGTCAAAATTCTCTCTATCTTGGAGGAAAGTAACAACAATAACCAAAACAACATAAATAACAAACTGATAATTTAATTTTTCTCTTTTCCAGTGATCTCACATCCCACTTTAAGACTTTTATGTATCTCTTTTGATCCCCCCAACAATCCTGTGAGGTAAGTAAATGTAACCTCTATTTGGCTTTTTTAAGACCTTTCACAACCTGGCCTCACTTTACTCTTCCAGCCTTATTATACATTATACATCCATATTATACATTCTTCTCTTCCCACAGCCACACTAATTCTCTTGCCATTCTTTACAGATGACACTCCATCTTCCATCTTCATGACTTTGCACTGACTGATCTCCAGCTAGTCCTTCCCCCTTTACTCTGACTTTTAAATCCCTTGATTTCTCCAAAACCCAGCTAAAGTGCCACTTTGTACATGAAGACTTTCCAGATTTCCCCAGCTAAGCAATAAAAATCACCTTGTATATATACATACATACATACATACATACATACATACATACATACAGGAAGAGAAAGAGAAAGAGAGAGAGAGATTATTACAAGATACCTAGACACAAAGACATAAAGAAAAAAGAAAAAATAGACCCTCCCCTGAATATTTAAACAAATAAGTCTGTACATGTGTAAGGAGGTTTAATCACAGGAGTCCCTGGTTAATGTAGAATACAGAAATGCAAAAGCAACCTTTTACCAGTAGTCTGTGAAATAACCCCTTCTTTTCCTGTTCTTTCTCCCTCTCTTAGACTTCTAGACCCAAGGTTAAGGTGAGGTACTTTCTCCTTTACTCCCAAGAAATAGAGAATGGTGTCTTGCAAGAGAAGCATATTTCAAACCTGAGAGGAGTTTTCCCAGATTGCCAGGTCTTGGCTGACATACTCTGCTTCTCAGAGCCCAGGTGTGATAGAACCAGGATTAATCCCATTTCCTAGCAACAAGGATGTTTCCCCTAAAAAAACAGAACAAAGCTGTTCCCAAGACCAAACAGGGTCCTACCTCCCTTGGCAAAGCTTTCTGGTCACCCTAGGGGTATAAAAAATCCCATCCACATTGAGTCAGAGTCCCTTGTAGTTGGTAGATGTGCAAAGGAAGCTGAATCTAGAAAAGCTGAGTATATTATATCCTTGTTGAGACAGGGCAGAGCTAACCTCTTTCTGCTACCCTCACAGTAACTTATGAGTGCCTCATTTCATCCCACAATTGATCTTGAATTAACACAGTGCTTGTCTAAGATTTATCCCTAACAGCAGGCCATAGACCATTCCTGAAAATGGATGGTACTTGTAAATTTGAGAGTATTCAAAAGACAGTTCCTAATTTCTCTTTGTCTAAAATGGGAGAAAATTTCCTCAACACCATGCTTGTTGGAGAAAGAAATTGAAAAGGACTGCCCTATGTGAAGGGCTGAAACCCATAAGCAGGTAGTGGGTAGGGAGGCAGGGAGGAACAGGAACAAACTTTTTAACCTTCCATCATATTGCTGCGAGTTGCTATTAAAAGTGCAAGTAGCCATTGAATGGGTAGTTAACCAGTCTCCAAAGTGGGGAGAGGGGGCCAGTGCTTGAGTGCTTTATAATTTGGTATTTGTTCAAGTGCTCCTGTGGGTCTCTTTTGCCATGAATTTTCCACAGTATGTAATATAAAGGTTGTATCATACCTAATATTTATATTGTACCTTGAGTTCTTTTGTGGGAGTTGGGGGCCCTGTTACCCATATTTAGGGAACCTAAATAAGAACTATTCCTAAAATTTCATTATTCTTTTCTTATTTAATATTTTATTTTGCCCCAATTACATGTAAAAACAATTTTTAACATTCATTTCTCTCCTCCCCTCTTTTCTCCCTCCACCATTGAGAAGAAAAACAGTTTTATATAAGTTACACATGTGCAGTCATTCAGAGCACTTCCATGTTAGTCATGTTGTAAAAGAAAACACAGACCAAAAAACCCCCAAGAGAAATAAAGAGAGTAAAGAAAAAGCATTCTTCCATCTACATTAAGGGTCCATCAGTTCTTTCTCTGGAGATGGATGGCATTTTTTATCATAAGTTCTTCAGAATTGTCTTGGATCACTGTATTGCTAAGAACCAAGTCATTCACAATTGATCATCATACAACATTGCTGTTACTGTATACAATGTTCTCCTGGTTCTACTCATTTCCCTTTTCATCAAGTCGTATAAGTCTTTCCAGGCTTTCCTGAGAGCATCCTGCTTGGCATTTCTTATACCACAGTAATATTCTATCACAATCATATGCAACAACTTTTTCAGTCATTCCCCAATTGATGGACATTCCCCCAATTTCTAATTCTTTGCCACCATGAAAAGAGCTGCTATAAATATTTTTGTACATATAGGTCCTTTTCCTTTTTGTTTCTTATCTCTTTGGAATAGACTTAGTAGTGGTCAAAGGGTATACATGGTTTTATAGTCCTTTGGGCATAGTTCCAAATTGTTCTACAGAATGGTTGAATATGCATACAACTTCATCAATAGTGAATTAGTGTCCCAATTTTCCCCCATCCCTTCCAACATTTGTCATTTTCATTTTCTGTCATATTAGCCAGTCTGACAGATGTGAGGTGGTACCTCAGAGTTGTTTTAATTTGCATTCCTCTAATCAATAGCAATTTAGAGAATTTTTTCATGACTATAGATTGTGTCAAGATATTAGGAGAGACCCTGTTTTCCAGAGCTAAGGCCCAGCAAGCAAGCTCACAGTCTGGATGATTTCTGCCACAGAAAAATCACAGAATTGTTTCTGGTCCTGAAGTCCTGCTATGAATCAGACTTGTCACATTGTTGCTGTTACCCCTCATTGTCAGGGCCATAGCCCAATGCACAGCCGTTGGTGTAAGTATTGAGATCCACCCACCCCACTAGAGGCAGGGCTCTGGCACACGTGTCCTGGCTTGCAAGCCATTTCCCTCACTTGGGAATTAAACTTGACTCCTGACTCTCCTGTCTCTAGCCTGCTTTGTTTGGTTCCAGCCACTCACAGGTCAGAGGCCTGTTCCGTCCAGTTGATTACTTTGGTAACTTCATCTGAAAATTGCCTGTGCATATCCTTTGACCATTTATCAATTGAGAAATGACTCTTACTTCTATAAAGTTGACTCCGTTCTCTATATATTTGAGAAATTAGGTCTTCAATAGAGGAACTTGCTATAAATTTTTTCCCCACAGTTATGATTACTAACTTTTTATTTTCCTCTCTCCTATTTTCTAAGACTGATTTTAGACATTTTTTTCCTGAATTCCAAATAGACCACGAGCCAAAGACATTTGATAATCCTTTTGGGTTTAGCCCCCCAGAATCAGATCCATGGCCTTTTGGAGGCAGTGGACCCACGGGTGATACATTATTTTAAAAATTACACTCTTCAAAGCCTTTTCTGAGGCTTAATTATGTAAAATTCTTATGTAATGGCCCTGGGTAATCTGGTTGCGTGCTTTTAGGTGTGTCTGATTTAGACACACTGGACTGTTCAGTTATTTACAAAAGGCTGTAAGAAAAAAAAGAATTAGATAATGGAGTAGTAGCATAATGCATTCCATATAATCACAAAAATAAAATAGTGAATGTTGCAGATCTCCTGGACTCTAATTAGTCTCCATCAGGATAGGGATCATAAAGTATATTAGATGTGTACTTCCCCCATCTTCTGACATAGTGCTCTACGCACTTTAGGAACTTAATAAATGTTTATTGAATTGAAATTTAAAAACAAGAACAACACACAAAAAATGTTGATTTCTACCAGCGGGCTTACTGGACAGTACCAGGAAGGTGTGGCTTTTCTGTTTATTTCTTTGCGATTTTCCTCTTGGTTATAGCATGATCTATCTGAGACCTGTGAGCTATGGTTCCTTTCGGAAATCATGGATAATAACACAGAACACAGACACTAGATTTAAGCATCAGTTCATAAAAATCCCTCTCCACATACACGCTTTTTTTTTCAGAGAGGAGAATGGAGAGGAGAGAAGATAGAAGTGGAGAGGAAAGAAAGAGGAGTGAAGGAAAATATGATGGAGGAGAGGAGAGGAGAAGGAAAAGGAGAGGAGGTAGAAGGAGGAAGAAAGAAGGGGAGGGGAGGGAATATGGTGAGAGGGAATGGAAAGCCAGAAGAAAAGAAAGGATAAGGAAGGAAGAAGAAAGGAAAGAAGGGGAGAGGAAGAAATGGAAGAGTAGGGGAGAACAGAGGCTATGCAAAGACAGTTCATAGAAGGGGAAGTGGTATGTTTGTGATAGCCCAATTGCCCTTAAAAGAAGATCAGCTTAGGTGAGCGAGGTACAGATTTCGAGGTCTGAGGTCCAGGTCCCTCCTACCTCTACCCCTCAAACATAGCTCTGAACCACAACATCGAAAAGACTAAACAGAAGGCGGAGTAAGACAACGTTCTCCAACAAGCGGGAAATTTCAGGTTCCCGCCCCTATAGGGGGCCCAGGTAATGAGAAGATGGGCTAATGAAGAGACCCCTACAACTCTCAATAAACCTCATTTGCTCATAGGCGCGAGTCAGATTTACCTTTATATCTTCCTTTGCTCTCCACGAATGAATGAGTGTATGAATGAATGAAACGAATCAACCACAAAACTTTCTTATTTCTCCTTCTCCGCCTTTATTTGGTTTCAGTTTCCTCCCTCTCCCTGCCCTGGCACCTCCCTTGGCACAAGCCATCCGCGGCTCTGCACTTGGTAGGACTGGAGAACAGTACCCGGAATCGGGAGAGAAGGGGAGTGCAGCTGGGTGGTACAGGTGGAAATTCATTTTTAAAAGCTGGTCCTTTCCTTCGAGCTCGGGAGACAGTCTGACCCCAGCACCTGCGGCCACTATTTTTGAAGTGGAAAGGCCCCTAGCTTCCTGGGTCTCCAGGAACACGAGACTCCAAGCCGGAGCTGGATTCTCAGTCCGTAGGGAGGAGCGAGGGCGCCCTCTGGACCTGAGGCGCCAGCCCTAGAGAGGAGTCTGAGACCTAGCAATCCGACCTTCCTGAAACTGGTTTTTGCAGTGTCTGTTATTACTTAACGCTTCAGACTTTCCAAGAAGTGATTTCATCGGCACACAGTTCCTGCATTCACCAAAAGCAGGCTGCAGCTTTAGTACGAGGTATTCGGGAGCTGCTACAACCAAGAAAGATCCCCCTCCACCCCCCAACAAA